GTCCAAAGACCGCGACAGGGACCGGCGGGATCGGGACAAGGATCTCGCGCTGGGGGGGGGGGGGGGCGGCCAGGATGGAGGGTAGGATTCGGGCCAGAGCTGGGGATGGGATGCGACCAACAGCTTGAGATAACGACCACTTTGTGCATAATATGGGCTCATGTTTTCGGCTTGGGTTCGCCGCGACCAGAAGCAAAACCTTTTCGTTCCTGTAATGTTGCGTTTCCCATGATAGGTAGTACGATAGCTGTAGGGAGAACGTGAGGTACGAGATCTGCAGCGTGCAGCCGGCTTAATTCGCTACTCCTTCCTTCGTCCGACCCAAGAACGGGGGGGGAATGGCAAGGCCTGGGGTGCAGAGTCCGCAGCAGGCATCTGTACGCCGCAAAGGTTCTTGGCCCTGGCAAGGCACGGTGGTGCTTTACAGATGCCTTCTGCGTGCAGGGAGCCTCAAGAGGTACGTTCCCGCCTCCTGGGGTCGGCGGCGCGGGTGCGCTGGTCAGGGGCAACGTTCGGGGGGATAGGTTCAGGAGCCGATGCATCGACCCCCCAACCTTCCGCTTATCGCCTACAGGGGCCTGGTCGCCCACCCGGCCCAGGATCAGTGGGGAGACAATCGGGAGAACAGATTCACACCAAGCCCGTTCGCTGGCACAGGTCACACCTCCTCTTTCCTCTTTCGCCCCTCTCCGCGAGAGCGAAGCGCGAGTGCATGGCAGCTGTTGCGCCATGAAGTGGTCGGATGGAACTGGCGGCGCCGCTAAGATTCCCAATTGCTCGTGTACGCATTTGCCTGTGCGAGCACGCGCATCCACGCAAACGCGCGCGCGTCCGCTCACACGCACGAGACATGTGTGATTTGACGTCGCACACGCCCGCTCGCGGGGCGCGTGCGTTGCGAAGCTATACGTAGAACCGGTGGGGCATGAGCCGCCACACGCTGTACACTTTTTGCGTCAGTGGCCAGGCAGGTGACGTCTGCGCTGGCGATGGGATGCCTCAGCGGGGATCCTGGCATCGCTCGGACGTGTGCATTTTTCCTTCGGCGAGGTCCATCGAGGATTATCCTTGATCATTTGGCGAAAAAACCACGCACGAAACCGAAAAAAACACAGGGAATGGCGGTCCGAGCGATGGCCAGGGATGCGAAATGTGCCACCATGCCAAGAGGAAGAGCGTGGGCAGGGCGCGGCCGAACATGAGCCGACACACGCTGCACACGCTCATCGTACGGCCAGCGCAGCGAAAAGGGACATGTTGGTTCAAGCACGTGCCCGCGAGTGCAAGCCGGCGGGCACCTCGGATAGACCTGCGTGCTGGCTCGAGGGAGGGCCCGCCAGCTCTCCCGCGCTGAGGCGTCGTGTCCCCAGGCCTCCGGCACAGGTTGTGTTGTTTGTCGTGCGATGTTTTTACCATATCCGAATGACAGAGTTCTTGTATTTACTCTGACCGCGCCGACTCCTCACTCACACCTCCCTCCTCCTCCTCCTCCTCCTCCTCCTTCTCCTCCTCCTCCTGCTCCTCCTCTTGCTCCAGCTTCTCTTTTTCACACAGAGTCACACTCAGGATCACCACTTGGGTCATGTTCTGATGGTGATGATGAGGAGGAGGAGGAGGACTACGATGATGATGATGATGCTGATGATGGTGATGAAGATGATAGTGATGATGATTGTGATGATGACGATGCTGATCATGGTGACGGTAGGAATGAGGGTCATGGAAATGATGATGTTGATGATGATGGCGCTAGTGGATCCTGTCACTGTTGGTAGATGATGGCGGTACGGATGATGCTGATGAAGGCGACGATGCTGATGATGATGTTGTTTCTGATGATGCTGATGATGACCAATGCGACGATGGCGAGCATGTGCTGGTGCTGATGGTGATGATGATGAACATGATGATGACGACGATGCTGATGATGCCGCTGATGATGATGATGATGATGATGATGATGATGATGATGATGATGATGATGATCGTGATGAGCATGTTTGTCGTGTTATTGGTGCTGGCAACAACAGCAACAGCAATACAGAGGACGATGCTGATGATTCTGCTGATGATGCTGTTGCGGCTGCTGCTGCTGACGACGATGATGATGTTGCTGGCCATCATCATGGAGGTGTTGGTGATGACGATAATGGTTGTTATGATGATGATGATGATGATGGTGGTGATAATGTTGATCAATATGATGAGGGTGATGATAGTGATGATGAGACTAATGGGTGAAGGCGAGTATGATGATGATGAGGATGATGGGGATGCTGATTATGATGATGATGATGCTGATGATGATGATGATGATGATGAGGAACATGATGCCGATGCTGATGGTGCTGCTGATGATGATCATATGACGGTGCTGGCCATGTTGCTGGTGATGGCGATGGTGTGTTCATGCTGATGATGATCACGATGATGATGACGATGATGATGATGATGATGATGATAATGACGATGCTGCTGCTGATGGTGATGTTGGTCATGATGATGGAAATCATGCTATTGAGGATGAGGCTAATTGGTGATGATGGGTATGATGATGGGGGTGATGATGATGATGATGATGATGATGATGATGATGATGGTGGTGGTGGTGATGATGATGATGCTGATGCGGATGATGATGATGCTGCTGATGATGATGGTGACGGTGTTGGTAATGTTGCTGGTGATGGTGACGGTTGTGCTGATGTTGATGATGATGATCACGATGATGGTGATGACGATGCTGCTGTTGCTACTGATGGTGATGGTGATGATGATGCTGGTGATGATGGCGGGGCAGGTTTTGAGGACATCTCGGGCGAGGCGCTGGTTTGAGTTCCCCCAACGGGTGGCCGCCAGGGGGTGTCTCAATCCTCCGTCAGCGCACAGGTTGCAGGGATGTCTCGAGCGGTTCGCCTGTTTGCATGCTCAGCATCCTCTGCATTCGAAGTAGATGCTGAGGATGTCTCGGGCGAGACGCTGTTTTCAGCATCCCCAAGGGGAGGGGGTGCAGGGTGTAGTTTAATCCCCCGTTCGCGCCCAGATTGCGGGGATGTCTCGAGCGGTTCGCCTGTTTGCATGCTCAACATTCTCCGCTTTGTTTCGGGCGAGGCGCTGATTTCAGCACCCCCAAGGGGGTGCTGCCACGGGGTAGCCCATTCCCCCGTTCGCGCCCAGATTGCGGGGATGTCTCGAGCGGCTTGCCTGTTTGCGTGTTCAACATCCTCCTCTTTCGGAGCAGATGTTGAGGATGTCGGGGGCGAGGCGCTGTTTTTCGCATCCCAAGGGGCCCAGATTGTCAGGATGCCTCTGACGGTTTGCGTGCTTTGCAGGTCAGACTTGTCTGCGTTCGAAAGCAGATTCTGAGGATATCTCGGGCGAGGCGCTGGTTTCAGCACACCCAAGGGGGAGCCGCCAGGAGATATCCCATTTCCCTGGTCGCGCCCAGATTGCGGGGATGTCTTGGGCGGTTTTCTTGGTAGCATGCTCAACATCCTCCGCTTTCAGAGCAGATGTTCAGGATGTCTCGGGCGAGGCGCTGGTTTTCGCATCCCAGGGGGCCCAAGTTACGAGGATGCATCGGATGGCTGTCATGTTTTGCTCGCCAGACTCGTCTGCGGTCAGAACAGATTCCGAGGATGTCTTGGGCGAGGCTTCGCACCCAATGGGGGCCCAGATTGCGGGGAAGTCTCGAGCGATTTGCTTGTTTTGGTGGTCAGACGAGTCCGCTTTCAGAGCGGACGGGGACCGAGGCGGTCCACGCACAGGGGTTCCTCGGGACTTCTGAGGCGTTGGGCAGGCTATGCCCTGCGCCCTGCCATTGGAGTCTGCATGGGGAGGAGGAGGAAGAGGAGGGGGAGGAGGTGGAGCAGGAGGAGGAGGAGGAGCAGGAGGAGCACGAGTTATTCATACTCCAGTTCACAGGTTATGGTATGATGACGGTGACGATGACGATGCTGCTGATGATGATGACGACGCTGACGACGATGATGATGTTACCGGTTCGAACCCCCCCCCCTCCGGAAAACCGGGGGGGGTCATTACCGGTTCGAACCCCCCCCCAGTCCATCATGAAAAGGAGGGGGGGTCACTACCGGTTCGAACCCCTTCCCCCCCCCCCCCTTCCCCTCGAAAACCGAGGGGGGTCACTACCGGTTCGAACCCCCCCCCCCCTCGAAAACCGGGGAAGGGTGTCCGCAGTGGTGGGGACGGTGGTGGTGGGGACAGTGGTGAGGGGACAGCGGGACAGTGGTGGGGACAGTGGGACAGTGGTGGGGGCGGTAGTGGTGGGGACAGTGGTGAAGGCGGTGGTGAGGACTGTGGTGGGACAGTAGCACGGTGGGGAAAGTGGTGGGGAAAGTGGTGGGGACAGTGGGACAGTGATGGGGACAGTGGGACCCGGGACAACACAGTGGGACAGCGGCGGGGACAGTGGGACAGTAGTGGGTACACTGGGGACAGTGGGACAGTGGTGGGGACCGTGGGGAAAGTGGGGAGAGCGGGACCGTGGTGGGACAATGGTGGGGAGAGTGGGGACATTGACACACTAGTGGGGGCACTGGTGGGGGCAGTTGGGACAATGGTGGGAACATTGGGGACAGTGGGACAGTTGTGGGGACGGTGGTGGTGGGGACAGTGGTGTGGGGACAGTGGGAATGTGGTGAAAACAATAGGACAGTGGAGGGTACAGTGGTGGTGGGGACAGTGGTGAGGGTGGTGGCCAGGACGGCGGTGGGACAATGGGACAGAGGTGCAGTGGGGACAGTGGTGGGGACAGCGGGGACAGTGGGGACAGTGGTGGGAACAGTAGGACAGCTCAGTGGGACAGCGGAGGAAAACAGCGGGACAGTGGGGATAGTCGGGCAGTGGTTGGGGCCGTGGAGAAAGTGGGGAGAGTGGAACAGTGGTGGGAACTGTGGTGGGGGACAGTGGTGGTGAGGACAGTGGTGCTGGGAACAGCAGTGGGGGATGTGGTGCGGACGGTGGTAGGGACCGGGAGTCGTTTGCTGGCGGTGAGGGGGGGGGGAGGGGTTCGAACCG